CTGCGAGACGAAAAGGATCTCGATCTTACACTTTCCGATTCTGTAAGTTTTGTGCAACAGCGAACACAAAATGAATTTTTGAAAAAATCTCAGAATTTTTTGATAAGTTTTTTAATAGGACATTTGATAAATTTTGTTTTTTTTCTTTGATAACAATCTTTTTTCAACAAATTTCTTCCTTTTTATTGCCTTTTTTCATTCTATATGGTTGGTTTCTTAAGAGATTTCGATTTTTATACACACGTTAATTGCACTGGGAATTTTCCAGCGTGGTTTTACTGTCTTGTTGTACGCAGTAAAGGATTCCAAAATTGGCATTTTTGCTAGCTTGCTCAGTCGCAAAGCGGAGATCAATGCAAAGACAAAAGTCTGTTCTTTTTCTAAAGATTACATTATCGATTCACTAGTTTTGAAAAAGCGAGAATTTAAATAGATATGGGCACCTTTACATGTAGACCAACTCGAATATTGAATTCTATGGCGTAGTATTTAACTTTGAATATCTGTAAAAATACTGCTGTTATTCATTCATGTATTTTCGAACGACCTGATTGGCAGAGCTTTAAAATAATAGTTTCGTGTTTTATTAAAGGAAAAACTGACTAGAAAATGTTGCTTTAGAAAAAATTTTGTGCAGTTTTTTTGCAGTAGGTTCACTTATGGATAATTATTTGTTTATTTTCTGCTGATGCTCTTTGTAATTAAAAAATATATATGACAAAATTCATGTGCAATAATTACCCATTTTGCTAGACAAGTAGAAGAAAAACGTTGAAAGCCTCAATGCTGAAAAAATGATCCGAGTTTACGCTTTTTTATCTTAAAAATTTGGAAGAAGCGAGCTTGAGTTTTATTTTCTTATTTTTGTGCAGCTCGTTAAATTTTCGTCCTGCCCTGTTTATTTAAATCAGAACACTAGCCACGTTACCATTATAGTAAATCAATTACGAAAAAAAGGATCGGTAAAAAATTGGTAAAATCAAAAAATCGCAATATTTTTTTGGAAAACAGTCCTTTCAGGATGGGCGGATTGTCGCGCACATTGCTGCAGCATTCGCAAATGAGGAAATGGTGCGGCGCTTACTGGACCGCAAGATTGACGTGAAACAATGCGGCGGAGTAAATTTTTCTTTATGCTCTCTTAAAGCATCAAACTGATTAAATAGGAACTGAGGGATAGAATTCGGGAATTATTGCGACCTGACAGGGAGATGAACCACTATCCCTCACATCCAGACGCGACGTGCTGCCCACTACACTACCAGTTCTCCAGAATTAACCTTGGCGCACATTTACTGTGTATCTGCCTTTCGAGACAGAATATACGTTTCTTTTCTTTGCTTTCCATAGGTAGTTTTATCGTTTTCTTTATGGCGGCTTCTTCTTGCCCGGCTTTTGCAGATTTTCTGGGAACGCACGTGCGTCCAATAAACGCCCAAGCAGCTTACGTACATTCATTACACTTGCCCCCATAACATATTCAGAGTCAGCACACGCACGCACCTCTAGTGCACGTACGTCCAGTTCACGTGCTTCCAACAATGGAGGAGTCTGATCCTGAATCATTACTGTAGGGGTTCATACAATTAACAATCTTATTTCCATTTTTGCGATGAAAATGAGCAAAAACTGGGCTTATTTTTTAAAAGAGTGTGGGCCGACTCAGATTTCTGATTGTTTGAGTGACGTATTTCCAGACAAATAATCTTCGTTACTTTCCAGACCCCTAAGTCTCAGGGCTGTGTGGCACTGACCAATCTGTGAGACATCGGCAATTCTGAGGAACTGGATTTGAAGTCTTTTGGTCGTACATGAGTAGGATACATTTCTCTAAAGTTTCAGTTTTCTATTTTTCTCGCTGCCGAGTAAGCAATTTTCCCACCAAAACTTCCAGCCTCCGTACGTGAGTCCCGGCAGCTCTTGAGTCGCCGTTCTGTATTTTACCGGTCAATAGTTTGTAGTTATTTTCTAGACTCTCAATCAGACACCTCTTCACTATGCATGCAGCCGTGCATCACAACGTGGTTCTCGAGTAGTCGATTTGTTGCTGGAACAGTGGAATGATGGCCGCTACGCAGAAGACGCGCAAAAATGCCTTCCAATTCACTATGCGATACAGTGTGGTAATATAACAACTGCAAAACTACTGCTGACCGATGGCGAGCAGCAACAAATAACACACGTTAGCAAATTAATCAAATTTTTCCAAAATTTTCGAAATATACAGTTGCTGACGGGCGTGGTGCAGTGGAAAGTAGCATTGCTTTTGCCGCGTGATAGTTCGAAGATTCCGATTCGACTATGGAGGGCAAGCGAATTTCTCTACGTTTCGTTCTTTCTTTTTTATGAGAAATTGGTACTGGAACATACCAGGGAGTCAAACTGTCATCAGCTTGCTTTTAAGCAACTCTTGAAAGAGGAGGTCATCGACTTCTTGCAAGCAGATGGCTATTGTCGACAGCTGCTGTCGCGCGAGTACAATCGCCCCTCGGAAAGAGTAGGCACGGAACGGATTCTGACTTTTGAGTTGAACGCTGTTAAGCTGCCAATTGTAACTTCGAAACATATTGAATAAAGTAAAGCTTTCTGACAATGTATGGCATTAGAACATTGTAACAAGGAGGAGGAAGAATGAAATCCGATGGGCAAACTTGTTGTTTTCCTGCTAGCGTTTAATGCGAGACTAAACCTGGACTCTGTGAATTACTTAGCCTCACGAAGTTGCATAAATTCCTGTTCGACGCCAGAACCGACTCTAACAATGCGACGATTAGATTTTATTATAAACTGCTAGAAATAAAAAAGTGTCGATAAAAAAAGGAAAAAACGAAAAATCCCGTTATCAAAACCAAATTTTCGAAAAAATTCTCTACAAAAGCGGGATTAATATTAATCATCTCATATGTCTAGTAAAAGATCGATTCCTGATCCTAATCAAATAATCAAATAGCATTAAAACATCGGCTCTGTAACTGAGCGCCTTGACTGATTACGTTTTGAATGATATGAAAGAAATAAATCGATTTGCAGGTGAATGCGAATGGCGATACTTTAATGCACGTTGCATGTCGATCCGATAACACCGATATGCTGCAGTTGCTGGTCAATTTTGGTGGAATTGATGTGAATGCGGTAAATGAAGTTGGATGGACAGCGCTTCATGAGGCCTCTTCAAAAGGCAATGTTGCTGCCTTGAAAATCCTTCATCGGCTGAAAGCTAACCCTAACATCGCCGATAAGGTAATCCTATCTCGATTTGGATAAAGGACCAAGAGAAGACAATTTTTCAAACTTCTGAAATGATGGTTTGAGAACGAAAAGCAATTATTTGAGTGCTTTGGTAGACCGACTTCCTAATTTGGTAGATCCTGATTTAATAGAATTTTTGAGATTTATTTTGGTAAATGATTTTACAAATCACTGACAGCTGGTATCAGTCTTTAATTTGTGATTGGACAACATTGTCTGAGTACCACCAACTAGGAGACAATAAGTATTAAAAAGTGGACAAAAAAGTCAGGCTGTGAAAAAAAATAAAAATCAGAGATTTCTCGCACTTATCATTGTTTGTTTTTTGAAAATAGCCACAGTTTCACCGGTCATCTACTGTAAATAGTCAAGTGCCCACTGATCAAGGCTGATCAAGATTTGTTGTCAAAGTAGAAGCTTTATTCCCAGTCGAGAATAAAGGGAATGATGACACGGTGGGCAAGCGCAGCTTGGCGTGGAATTCTAAATAATAGTGACCGAAAATTCAAACTTGGTTTCACTGAATTACTTCCCCGGGTAGAACGGACTAAGACGGAAAAAATATAAATTAGGATAGAGTGTAATTAAATTGCAGTGAGAAAGAAAAAAAGATAAATTTGAAAAAGAATGTTTCGGTTCTTTAAGTCGTACACATTCTTACTCAACACTACAACTGCCACTTGTCAATGAAACATATGTAGGTTCTAAGCAAAAAAGAAAAGGTGGAATGGAAAAGGATGTGAAAAATGATAATAAGAAAAAGAAGAGAGAAGAAAAAGTAGTATAAAAAATGGAAAAGGGGAAATTATAAATGGCTTACCTCAACCATTTTTTGGTAATTAATTCTGAAAACCGCCACAATTGCACAATTGGCAATCAGTAAATTTTAAAAAAGATCACTTAATGAAGAAAAAAATTTATTCAGGAAGATTGGACTCCATTACATGTAGCAGCAGCGGCTGGACATACGAATGTTGTGGAGCTGCTGATCGACAAATTTGGCGGTTCAATACGAGCACGAACTCGAGATGGCAGCACATTGCTGCATGTTGCTGCACTTAGCGGTCATGCCGAAACCGCACTGGTATTCCTAAAACGTGGCGTACCGTTACACATGCCCAACAAACGAGGTACTTTTTTTCCGGTGTGAAAAACAGTCATAAAAAGGCGTCGAAATGTCAGCTAAAAAGTTTCCCTCATTTAAAGTTTTTCTCAGTACTGAAGATATGTTTTCTCATTCCAAAACAAAATTCAAAATGTGATTGATTTTCAACAAATATTTTAGGTGCACTGAGCCTACACTGCGCCGCAGCTGCCGGATTTAATGATGTTGTTCGTATGCTCATTTCCAAAGGAACCCATGTCGACATACGAACCAGAGTTTGTTCACTTGTTGATGTTCTGCTTAAAATTAGCAAAAATTTAGCCCTGTTTTTTAAGAATTGAGCATTTTTCAGTGGATTTTCCGAAATTTTCATCAAACTTTTTCCATATTACTAAAATTAGTAGTTCCACATTGTATGTGGCCGGCAATACGAAGGAACTTGTCTACGAAATGAATCAGTAATTCCTGAAGATGATACGACGACCAATCACCAAGGATTTTAAAAAGTCACAGGATCACAGAATTTGAAGCACAATATCAGCGCTAGCTGAATTAGTACTGTAGCAAGGATTAGCCAGGGAAATGATATCAGTACGCATTAGTGCAAGACATGGCGATGTAAGACGATTACGCAGACAATATGTAAATCCTCAGATGGACTATAGCAGCGATCTCTGTACCGCAGTCTTCGTGAAACGCTCCCGGATGTAACTTTAAAATCGCCTTGGAACTCACCTCCGTAGATTTAATCTACGATGGGAGACATCTAGTAACAGTTCGGAGATTCCGAACTGAAATTTTATCTCACGAAGATGATAAACAAAACATCGTCTTTACATAACTAAGGATACTTGATAATAAATATATTTACGTGCTTGCAGGATAACTATACGGCTTTACACGTTGCAGTACAAGCTGGGAAAGCATCTGT